CGGGTTCCATTCTGGCCCAGGGCACATGCCCATGTTGCAGGCTTGATCCCCTGTAGGGGGCATGCAAGAGGAAGCCGATCCATGATCCTCTCTCATCATGGATGTTTCAGTCTCTCTACCTCTCCCTTCCTCTCTAAAATCAATAAAGAATTTTATATATATTTGTTTTTGTTTTGTTTTGTTTTAATTGTTTTATTGCTTAAAGTATTACAGAGAGTATTACATATGTCTCCTTTTTTCCCCCGCCCTTAAAAATCCGGCCTCCCCTAACCCCCAGTGTCTTATGTCCATTGGTTATGCTTATATGCATGCATACAAGTCTTTCCGTTGATCAGAAATATATTTTTTAAAAAATACATCAGGAATCAGTGTAGAGCAGTGTTTGACAACACTTGGGAATCACTGCTAAAGAGCAATACACTGTAGAACAGTATTTGACACCACTTGGAATTCACTTCTAACAGGCTGGAAACTATATGAAAGTGTTTGAAAGCACTTTGAAATCACTGATCAACTTCACTTTCCTTTTTTCCAGTGCTCTTGGGGCACAGCCCAGGGTCCCAGGGTAGAGACCACAAATTCCCTCATTGCTACTGTTGTATATTTTTTAAAAAGCTAGGGACGCATGAATAAACAAGTAGAAAAACAATTCCCTCTCCCTCTTCCTCTCCCTCTCCCTCTCCCTCTCCCTCTCCCTCTCCCTCTCCCTCTCCCTCTCCCTCTCCCTCTCCCTCTCAATCTCCCTTCCACTCAGTGGATAGAGCATCGGCCTTCGGACTGAAGGGTCCCAGGTTCCACTCCGGTCAAGGGCAGGTACCTTGGTTGTGGGCACATCCCCTGTAGGGGGTGTGCAGGAGGCAGCTGATTGAGGTTTCACTCTCTTTGATGTTTCTAATTCTCTATTCCTCTTCCTTCCACTCTGTAAAAAAAAAAAAATCAATAAAATATATTAAAAAACAAAATGGCAGCTGCCAAGTTACTAGAGGCAAAATGGCAGCTGCCTCCTGCAGAACTCCCCCGCCTCCCCCACTGGGGATGGAGCCCACACCCCAGGCAGGTGACCTTCACTGGACTCAAACTCGGTACCCTTCCATCCGCAGGAGGACTCTATCGGCTAAGCCAAACCAGCTAAGGCTAAACTCCAAATTTTGACAGAAAGGATGACTTGTTTATTCCCACACAACTGTGGATAAAAGGGGCCACATGCTAACCCGACGAGCTCAGGGAAGGCCTGCATGGCCGTCGTGCAAACTGAAAGGCCTAACGCGACCAACCGCAGGGATGGTCTGAAGAGAGGCTGTTACTAAGAGCAGTTGTGGTGGGTAGTCGCATCGAGGCCAGAGTCTTCCCTGACAAGGTCAGTGTTTACCTGAACCTATGGTCCTTTTGCATCTAAGACACAACATACCAATGAAATGTCAGAGGAACTTATAACATCCCGACGACCCCATCCCGCTCCGCCCCCCCACACCCCAACACACACACAAGCAAATGTGCCTGGGGGCCCTGCAGGACAGAGACCATAAATTCCTTCATTGCTATTGTTATCACGTGTGTTGTTGCCTGTTAACTAACTATCCTGTGCCCACCTAAGTAAAAGAAGTAGGTGTGGCCCTGGCCGGTTTGGGTCAGTGGGTAGAGCCGACGTCCACCTTAGGGTCCCAGGTTCGATTAGGGTCCAGGGCGCATGCCCGCCCGGGTTTCGGGCTCCAGCAATCCCCACTAGGGGGCATGCAGGAGGCAGCCGATCCAAGATTCTCTCTCATCTATGATGTTTCTCTCTCCCGCCCTCTACCTTCCTCTTTCCAATCAATAAAAATTTTTTTTTTAAAAGAAGTCTGCGTCTATCATTTTACCTTTGATCCAATCCCAGAGGTTTCCCCCCTTCCCCCGTCCTCCCTCCCTCCCTCCTTCTGTCCTACATCTCTCACCAGTGGATTTCCTGTAACCCACTTACTTCTCCCCCTTGGATTGTCACTTATAAAACAAACCCTGGCGGGTTTTGGTCAGTGGGTAGAGCATCGGCCTGGGGACTAAAGGTGCCCGGGTTTGATTTCAGTCAAGGGCTCAGGCCCGTGTTGGGGGCTCGATCTCAAATAGGTGGTGTGTGTGTGGGAGGCAGCGATGGGGGGGGGGGTGATTGTCTCTCTCTTTGTGGATGTTTCTATCGCTCTCTCCCTCTCCCTTCCTCTCAGAAATCAATAAAAATATATTAAATAATAATTTTAAAAAAGAATGAATAAAACAAAGTGAAAAACAGCTCTTCTCTGGAGCATTGTCCCAACCCCTTGAGATTCTGCTTCCCGGCAAGTGTGGACAGCTTGGCTCAAGTAAACTCATGAAAGTTCTCTATTGGTTTGAATGTTTTTATGTGAACACGACGTATACACCTGCTGGTTTCTGAGGGCGAGGCAACAGAATCTGTCCATGAGGTCTGCTGTGAAACTGTAGAGGAGTCTGTTTCTGCTATCAAAGGCCAGGTCACCCTTAGAAATAGTGTAGGAAAAAACAACAACAACAACAACAACAACACACAAAAAGACAGAAATTGGATTTACAAAGAGAAAACAGACAAAGTGAACCTAGGGATGCTCCGAGGACTGTGAGAGGGAATCTCCCTTCTCCTCACTCACACCGCTTTTGGGAAAATGGCAATGATCCTAAGAGGTGAAGGTATTGAAGCTCTCGGAGACACTGACTGACTAGGGCTACTTTACCCGTTCTTAACCCTACCCAACCAAGTCTCCCTCTCCCTGGGAGTCAAGCTTGTGTGTCAACAGTCGTAGGTAGGGGTATCTACCCGACGGAGGGCTGTTTTAAAATCAGAATCTGTCTGCTTTCAACGAGGAAATGGGACAGGAGCAACCTATATTTTCCTGGTCAAATTGGCCCCAATTCACCTGATAGGGAGAGAGAGGTTTGTCTTTGTCTGTCTGTCTGTCTGTCTGTGTTTGTCTTTAAGCCAGTGATGCCAACATATGTTGGTTGTTGGTTGTTGCTTTTTGTGTTTTTTGTAGAAGGGTCATGTGTATGTAGACCTCATTGAGCCAGAGAAAGAAAGAAAGGAAGAAAGAAAGAAAGAAAGAAAGAAAGAAAGAAAGAAAGAAAGAAAGAAAGAAAGAAAGAAAGAGGAAGGTCCTTGGTTCAGTCCTGACTATGACTTTCTGGGGCAGGGCAGGGCACGGCACACCTGGTCGGTCGCCACCAGTGGTGTGGTTTTTGGTTTCCAGCCAGAAACCCCACTGTGGTCCACTTCAGTCCACCTCATACCTTTCCTGGCTGGGGAGAGTTCCTTTGGATCACAAGGACAAACCCAAAGGAGGACAAAGTTCAGAATGCCTAATTCATGTCTGCCCATTTCTACACGACACAGCCGTCCATAGTGTCCAAGTGACTTGACCTACATTTTTCATGTCTGAGAAAGAAGTTTCCATTTGAGATACAGGTACTGCTTTGTGTTATTTATAAATGATGTGCCTCCATCCAAAGCGCTAGTATGGCGATCCACTGCCTTCCATTCACACCCCTCTGTCTGCTGACTGTGCAAGCGCTGTCCGTGAGTTGGCTCCGCCCTGTGACGACAAGGAACCAACCCGGCCCTCTGGTCGACCACGCTTTGTGGCTTATAAAAGCGGTAGCCAGGAAGGTGGCGCATGACAAGGATAGGTTGCATCGTCATCACGTCATCACCAGGGTGGTGGGGACGCAGGGTCGGCCACGGGGGGTGGGGATGGGGGCTTTGAAAACTTCTCTCATCCTCTCTCTCTCTCTCTCTCTCTCTCTCTCTCTCTCTCTCTCTTTCTCTCTCTCTCTCTCCTCTCTCTCTCTGTCTCCCCTAGCAGTCAAGAAAAACAGACACTCCCAAGATGAGGATGAAGGACTGTCAGTTAGACTTTGAAATTTCCTCCGCGCAGGAAGAAGGGGCGATTTAGGAATTTTCTTTCAGTGACCACGCCCCGCACTGTGTTGCCCCCGCCAATGCCGCCTGAAAACATCACTAAAGGGTTGAAGGGTTGATAGTAATAGAAACAGGAAGGGTAAGCATTGCAACGTGTTTTCCGGGGTTTTGTTTGTTTGAGAGACCTATAAATGTATAATGCTGTGAAAAGTCTTATGTTCCTGAATAACTTTAGTATTTTGGTCAAAGGAATTTGGATGATTTTCCTGGCTGCAAGCGGGTTAATTCCTCAACACCAGGCTGACAGGCATGTGCTAGGAGGCCCCAGCAGCTCTGTTCCTCTGCTGTGTGGACAAGCCCTTCTGGAACTGGGGGCCCTGCCTTGTGCCCTGAACCCCTCCTGGCACAAGTCCTGAGACCTGTGGGTTCACCAGCAGCACTAGGAGGACCACTCACATCCAGGTTCAGAGCCAGCAGCAAGTCCCCTTCACATCAGGGGTTAGTGGACCACATAGAAAGTAGCATTGGGTCCACCCACTGAGCAGCCACAAGGAGGTCAGAGATGCCCAGGGAGAAGGAAAAACCTGGAGGGAGTGATATAATGGTGCTGAGCCCTACAGCCCAACCGCATCCCAGCAGCTCCAGTGTCTGATCCTGACCCCTCCACACCTTTTTTCATCAGGAACTGAGGTGTAAAGTGGGGGAGACAGGTTATTCCATGACGGAGGACCAGAGGGTGGCCTTTGAAATTGTCTTTATTTCTGAACATTCCTTTACAACCTTCCACCCTAGGATTAACTCCCACAGATGCACCTTGAGCCTGAATCCCCACCCCCTCCTCAAGGAAATCAGATTCATGTTTCTGGTTGTAGGACACTTTGTGTTTAGATCCCATGAACTCCCCAACCTTTGTCCCTGCAATCCTGTACCCGGGCTGGGTCCGTCCCTTTCCTCATTCACACTGAGCATGAACATGAAACATGAGTGGCCCCGCATACTGCACCCCAATCCGAGGTTTCAGGTTCCAGGGTCCTAGAAGGAAGCTCTTGTTAGGTGCACCTGGTGAGCAGGGTCACTAGAGGGGCACATCACAGGCCCCATGTCATGAAAATGCCACGTCATAAACCTCCCAAGAGCTATAGGTCTTGGTGACAAGATGGATGGTCCTGGGTTGTCCTAACTCCCTCAGTGTCCCCGGGAGCTCAGCCCGGATCGGGGCAACTTCCTCCTGGTCCAAAGTCTGGTCGGTCCTGTAACACTCCAGGGGGACGGGGTACAGCTCGATCTCTAAACTGCGCAGCCCGGCTGTGTGTCGCAGCAGCTTCTCCGCAGTGGCCATGGAGAGGTGGTTCTCAGAGATGGTGAAGTCCCTGAGCTGGTGACAGCAGCTCAGGACAGGCAGGATGGCCTCGACTTGGGAGTCCACCATCCCACAGTTATCCAGGCGCAGATCCTGGAGGGTGGGTGCCACTGCCTCCAGCAGAGCTCGGAGGGGCTCAGGACTAAAATCAGTGAGGTTGGTGCCATACAGACCCAGGGACTTCAGCTGCCTGAGGTTCGGGCACTGGACCAGGTGTGTCAGGTCTGAGTGTGTCAGCTACGAGCAAAACCATATAGAGAGTTTGTCCAAGGGGGGCTGCAGGCACCTGGGGAGAGATGGAGCGATTAGTTCCTGGGGACGGCAGTGGTAAAAAGAGGGGGGCTTACAGGTGGAGGAAGACCGATTTGTCCAAGCCCAGGGCTGTCCTGACAATCTGATGAAGGCCAGCACCCAGGACACCCAGTCTCCTTTTGGCAGGGTCAAGTTCACGACATCTCCAGAGCTTCCTTTCCTTAGCTGCCAAGCAGAGCTCTGCTCTCTGGAGGGTGACTGGACATAAGGAAAACCCAGGGAACCTGCTCAGGGAGCCTCACAGTGTCTAGGTCAAGGGTAGGCATCCGTGAATCTTAAATTTGGGAGTCAAAACCAAGAATGCTCTCAACTCAGGCTTCCTTTTGTCCATTGCTTGGTTCCAGGCACCAAACCTCTGGGCCACAGGAGGCTCTTTCATCTAATGCCTAAAAGGAACAAACCTGGCCCTAGCTGGTTTGACTCAGTGGACACAGCTTTCGAATGTCTCAGTTTCAATTCATGGTCAAGGGCTCAGATCTCTCTTGCAGGCTCAATGCCCGGCCCAGGTTGGGGCATGTGCTGTAGCAACCAATCGCCTCTCCCACACATCGGTATTTCTCTCTCTCTCTTTTCCTCCATTTCACTCTTTAGAAATCAATGGAGGTGGCAGAAGATGGATTTGTCCAAGCCCAGGGCTGTCTTCACAATCTGATGAAGGCCAGCAGCCAGAACACCGAGTCTCCTTTTAGGCAGGGATAAGTTCACGACATCTTCATACCTTCCTTTCATCAGCTGCCAGGCAGCGCACTGCCCTATGGAGAGTGACTAGACATAAGGAAAACCCCGGGAACCTGCTCAGAGAACTGGACAGTGTCTAGGTTAAGGGTTGGCATCCCTGAGCCTTGAGTTTGGGAGACAAAACCAAGAATGCTGTCAACTCAGGCTTACTTCTGTCCATGGCTTGGGCTCCAGGCACCGGATATCTGGGGCTAGTTCACATAATACATAAAGAACAAACATGGCACTAACAGGTTTCACTCAGTGGATAGAGTGTTGGCCTTTGCATTGATGTGTCTCAGGTTTGATTACCACTAAAGCACATGCACCTCATTTGCAGGATCAATCCCAGGCCCTGCTTGGGGCACGAGCATGGGGCAACTAATTGATGTGTCATTCTCACATAGATGTTTCTCTCTCTCTCTCTTCCCCTCCCTTCCACTCTCTAAAAATCAATGGGAACAATATCCTCAGGTGAGGATTTAAAAGAGAGAGAGAGAGAGAGAGAGAGAGCAGACCTGGAAAAGATTCTGCAGCAACAACTGGGAGGCCAGTCTGCAGAGGGGACTTCCACTGCAAACCACCTCCCACTCTTTGCAGTCCTTTCCCTCTCGCTGCCTTAGCTGCAGGATACTGCCTTTCCTGCTCTAATCTTTATTATCTCCTTCCTTCTGCTCACCCTGGGCTTTTCTTGTTGCTCTCTTTCTAATTCTTTGAGCTGTAGATTTAGATGATTTACTACCATTTTTTCTTGTTTGTTGAGGTAGGCCTGTAGAGCTATAAACTTCCCTCTCAGGACTGCTTTCATCAGGACTGCTTTCATTGTGTCCCAAAGGTTTTGGATTGTTGTGTTTTCATTGTCATTAGTGTCCAGGATGTTTTTAATTTCTTCTTTGATCTCATTGGTAACCCAATCATTATTTAATAACATGCTATTCAGCTTCCAAGTGTTTGAGTATTTTGGGTTTTTTTATTGTAGTTTATTTCTAATATTATGCCATCATGGTCTGAGAAGATGCTTTTTATGATTTCAATCTTCTTGAATTTGGGGAGACTTTGTTTGTGACCCAATATGTGGTCTATTTTTGAATATGTCCCATGAGCACTTGAGAAGAACGTATATTTTGTGGCTTTGGGGTGAAGTGTTCTGAAGATGTCTATTAAGTCCATCTGATCTAGTGAGTCATTTAGGATTGCTGTTTCTTTGCTGAGTTTTTGTCTAGCGGATTTATCCAGTGATGTCAGTGGTGTATTAAAGTCCCCTACTATGATTGTATTGTTGTCAATCTCTCTCTTGATATCTTCCAGGAGTTTTCTTATGTATGTGGGTGCTCCTGCATTGGGTGCATATATGTTTATCAGGGTTATATCTTCTTGTTGTATTGATCCCTTTAGTATTATGAAGTGGCCTTCCTTATCTCTTGTTATGGCCTTCACTTTGAGGTCTATTTTGTCCGATATAAGTATTGCTACCCCAGCTTTCTTTTCCTTTCCATTTGCCTGAAAGATATTTTTCCATCCCTTCACTGTCAGTCTGTGTGAGTCCCTTCTAATGAGGTGGGTCTCTTGTAGACAGCAAATGTATGGGTCATGTTTTTTTATCCATTCAGCCACTTGATGTCTTTTGATTGGGCCATTTAGTCCGTTTACGTTTAAAGTTATTATTGAAAGGTACTTGTTTGTAGCCATTTCTATTTTTTTTTGTGGCTGTTTTCTTTCTGGGCTTTTTATTTCTTCTTTTTACACCAGTCCCTTCATCATTTCTTGCATTGCTGGCTTGGTGGTGATAAACTCCCTTAGCCTTTTTTTGTCTGTGAAGCTTCTTATTTCCCCTTCAATTTTGAATGATAGCCTTGCTGGGTAGAGTATTCTTGGATTCAGTCCTTTGCTTTGCATCACTTTGTAAATTTCTGTCCATTCTTTTCTGGCCTGATGTGTTTCTGTTGAGAAATCGTTTGATAACCTGATGGGGGATCCTTTGTAGGTAACTCTCTGTTTCTCTCTTGCAGCCTTTAAGATTCTCTCTTTGTCTTGTACATTTGCCATCGTTATTATGACGTGTCTTGGTGTCGGTCTTTTGGGGTTCATCTTGCCTGGGACTCTCTGTACTTGTGTAACTTTTTTCTTCCCCATATCTGGGAAGTTTTCTGTCATTATTTCTTCAAATAGATTTTCTAATCCTTGCTGTTCTTCTTGTCCTTCTTGCAGCCCTATTATGCGTATGTTACTTCGTTTCATGTTGTCCTGAAGTTCCCTTAGGCTCTCCTCCTGTTTTTTAATTTTTTTCTCCAGTTGCTGTTCAGATTGAGCTTGTTTTTCTACCTTATCTTCTAACTCACTAATTCAGTCTTCTGCTTCTTTTAGTCTGCTGTTGAAACTTTCCATGGTGTTTTTGATTGTAGCTATATCACTTTTCGTTTCTTCCTGATTCTTGCATAGGTTGTTGATTTTCTCATCCATCCGGTGAATGAATTGTACAACCATTATTCTGAATTCTTTTTCTGTCATGTTGCATGCTTCAACTTCATTAATCTCCTTTCTTTGTGATTCCTCATTGTCTTTCTTCTAAGTGTTGTGTCGTTTCTTCATTCTGATTATCCCCCGATGGTTCAAAGGTCGAGTTGCGTGGGCCTGGGCTGTGTGCAGTGGGAGCCTCCCACCACCCTAGTGTCACTGAAGAGCTCTGACACTAAGCTGTGTGGTTGTTGTTGGTTGGTGGGAACCAGGCTAGCTATGAGTCAGTGTTGCCAGCGCTCAATGTGGCCTCGTATGTGCCCTTAGAATCAGGACCTGCCTGCACCGTGTGAA